GCCTCCCCCATGCAACAGTTTATTAGATCACGAACACACCTCGTGAGAGCCGAGCAGTGTAATAAGTTCGAATATGCTCAACTCGAGCTAACATGAATATACTCGGTTTATCATGGTTGGGCGGTAATGCTCTGTGCCTATAACCGATCTGCTTTGGTAGTGAAAGATTGGCTGCCCAGTTGCGCCACTTCCCCCTGAACTCTGGATGCCTCATAGAAATCCAAAGGCATCAATTGAGTGTGAGTGTCATTCCTCGTCAGGGTAGTATGAAACGTTGGATCACTGTAACACTTCTAACTGCCATGGCAACACAGAGTTACGCAACACGCTTTGAAAAGCCATTGTATCTAGCGGCCAGACACTCTTCTGTTAAACACAGAGACGTCGCCCGAACCACAATCGAGTGATATACGTAGATAAGTATGTTAAGATCCAGATGCAAGTATGTATATGACATCCCATGGTGTTCTCCCACTTCTCCACTTACACCACAGTCCATTCCTCACAAACCCACGTCCCAAAGAGCACGTATTGTGGGAGCGTTATCGACATACAGGTAGATAAAACCGTCACTGCCATGTGTGACCGTTGCGGCGCAATACGGTAACTGTTGGTTATGTACATCGTTGCACAACACCATCCCAAGGCGGCCAACAATTGCCTCGGTCGCATTTCCTTCGTAATGATCGCATGTATCGTTTCATCATGCTCGCAATATTCGATGAAAATCAGTGCTGATCACTTGGCTGCAATGGGCAGTCAGAAAATGGATAGGCAACATATCATAGTCCGTGATATTATCATTGTCAAAAGCACCCTAGTTTTATACGCCTGATATATGATAAATAAAGCACCTCATCTCTATCGCTTGTCCAATATCTTCAAACTTTGTTTACAGCTTCTCCAACAAAAGCTTGCTACCAGCATTACCAACAGGCTTGTCGCCCTTCTTCTTACCCTTCTTAGCTCCCTTAGGCGCAGTTTCCTGAGCCTCACGTGCCGCCCTCTGCTCAGCTGTCTCCTCTGTCGCGGCCTTCTCAAGAATCTTCTTATTCTTCTTGAGTGTTTTCTTGAGCGCATCAACCTCACTGAAGTCACGGGCCTCAAGGAGACCCACAACAACAAATGAGCCAGGGCCGGTGGCCCAGTCCATGATGTGTTCCTTGATGACGGGATAGAGAGTGTTGGAGAACTCCAGAGGAGGGTCTACAGGGATGATCATGCCAGCTGCTTTGTCATATTTGCCCCCTTGGATTAACGACTTGAGCATGCGAGCGCCGTGAGGTGTCTGTGAAATGTGGATCTGGGGTTGAAGGTCGTCTTCGGCTGGCTCCTGGCTGGGGTCACCGCTGGCTGACTGAGCAATGGCCTCAAGAGCAGCTTGCTTCTCACCAACTCCCGAGAGAAGGACGTCGGTAATGAACTGGCAGCCAAAAGCGGTCGCGGTCAGCTCAGTGGGTGCCTCTGCGATGGCGGTGATGAGCTGGGGAGAAACAGCAGTAATGAGCTCGTTGCGTCGAACGTCCTCATCTTTCTTGCTTGTTGTCTTCCGGATCTCGTGAACCTCCTTGAGAAGCTCGACATCAAATGATTGGCTAGAAGGAAAGAGACTCTTGGCTAATCCCTCGAAAAGATAAAGAATTGTTGACCTGGCAAAGGGGTTGTTGGCTGTTGCGACAACATTCTGGGCGATGTTCTCGCCCTCGCCAATGAGTTCGGGGAAGATGGTCTTGGCAGTGAGTTTGGTGTCATCGACCACGTCGTAGGCGGTAAGGAGGATAAGGTGGGCCCAAATATCACCGGACATAAGGAGGTAGGTGTCCTTATAAGTCTTGAGAATCTGCTTTCGGTCCTTTGAGGAGCCATGGGCAAGAAGCAGGCATGTGAGCTTGGCGCCATTACGAGTGAAAGCCATGTTCTTCAACAGATCTCCGCTGTCGTCGCCCTTGACCATCTCGAGGAACTCGGTAAATTCTTCCGTACCGACTTGGGTATTGGAGAAGTACTGGAACATGGCATCGTGGAGCATAGTGAAACCGGTCATCTTCTTGTTGACAAGAGAGCCAATCATGTCAACCAAACTCTTCATAATGGGGCTGCGCTTGCTGGGCTCGGCTTCCAGGATAGTCTTGAGGTCGGCAGTGGGCTCTGTGTCCTTGGTGAGCTCCTTGAGAGAAAACTCGGGACCGTACCACTCGCGGAGAAGAATGGCCTTTTGCTCCTTTGTCGCAACGCCTCGGTAAATGTCGTCGAGAATCCATGATGCCTCGGCGTGATTGATCATCTTTCGGACACGGCCGTAAAATTCGGGAATGATGATATCGCGGATCTCCTCATCGTTCTGGACAAGAAGCTTTCCGATCAAGAACTTGGCATATCGACTCTCAGCAAGCTGAGCATATGTACCCTTCAGCTCACGGGCAATCTGCTTCCTCTGCTCGGGTGAGGCGTATTTGATGGCGGTTTGAACAGCTCGCACAGCATCGTGCTTGAGGACGAAGTCCTTAATGCGACCCGTGATGATGGTGAATAGTTCGTCGACCAATGTCTGTCGCTCCTCCTTGGGAACGTGAGACTTTCGTCGCAGCCGTTCCCACAGCTTCTTTGTGCGTTGAACTTCGTCAGCAAGAGGCTTTGCGGCCTTGCGCTCCTGAGCGAGCTGCTTTTGTTTAGCATGGGATTCGCGCGAAGTTTGCCCTAGGAGAACAGTCAGCATTGGCCAGGCGCGAATGCGGTATCTACCAGATAACATACCTCGCTCAAAGTTCTTTCCATTTTGAGCACCATTCGAAGACTTCTGGGGAGTCTTTTCACTCAGTTCGGCACCACCATCCTCCTCATCTGAAATGTCGTCCATATCATCGTCCTCGGGCTCTTCAACGGGTTGCTTTCGGACCTTGGTCTCATCAAGTCGAGCCTTCTTGACTTTGGAATCAGTTTTGGCCTTGCCGCCAGGAGCGGACTTTCGCTTGTTGCCAACAGCTGCAGTTTTGGTAGCCATTGTCGTGAACTTGATGGATAGATGCAGAGTCGCAATTCAGTCCAGCAACTTTTTTTTCTTAGCGATAAGGTTAAACTCCCACTTGGCTAACTGATAAGAGCGGCCCCACTCTTCTGAATTCTTCAATGTAAGAGTCACGTGCCATTCTCTTATACCAGTAGTAAGAAGAACGCGCTTGAAATAAAGACACCTTGGTTTTGTTGTTATGTATTAACTGTTAGGCAAGTCCTAGTTGGCTTTCATGTTGGGCGTTTATATATTTGTTTTCACGAGTTTGTTGCCTGTAGTCTCTTTGAGCTGGACATATGATCTCTGTTGCGGTCTAGAAATAAATTACAGAGAGTAGCGCTAGGTGAAGTGTCTAACAACGACCATTAAACAATAGTAAGGTGACCACAATCAAAAGCAAATACAATAGCATTTGAAGAAATCTTTGGTATAAAAACCTTGGTCCAATTAACATGATAAATGGAAATTGGGTCCCCTAGATCGAAAATTACATATCCAAACTACAATTGATATACTGCCGAGTCCAGCCTTATATTAAACGCCGATTGACTGGAGCTCGTTCGTAGATTCCGGACTCCAAGGATATTCGGTGCCACAATGAACTTATTGCACAACAGGTATTGAAGTCCTGTGAGTTGCCACTGAAGTAGCCTCTGCATGTGAGGGGTGCATAAGTGCAATGCAGCACGTTCCCGGCTCCGGCATTGGTGATTTGAGTACGATCAACTTTCACTTTTCAGAGTCAACTGAAACCGAAAGATCTGGCTATCATCAATCACAGATGATATGGACTCCCCATCGATATCTCAGGTTGCCCCTAATCTGTTTGTTGGGAACGTTGCGAGCTCCATGAACCGTAATGTTCTTCGCCATCACAACATCACAGCAATAGTTTCCCCCCTGGACGGCCCATATTCGAAATGGGATAGCCCCAAAAACAGGCAAATAGTCCCCCAAGAGTGCCATCTATTTGTGCCTTGCCTTGATAATTCGACGATGGACATTCTCTGCTTATTAGACAACATCTGCGACTTTATCGACCTGCAACTAGATCGTCACGGCTCACTGCGCTCGCCATCTTATATTATGTCGGAAGAATCCGGCACTGACACGGCTTCTACCATCGAAAGCGAAGACTCTGCGCAAGAGCCGAACGTATTGATCCATTGTCGCCTTGGGATGTCCCGATCAGCATCCGTTGCGATAGCATATCTAATGCGGCAACGACAACTGGGTTTGGACGTCATCATCGCTGAAGTCAGCGCAAGGCGAAAGGTGAAGCCAAGAGTTAACTTTATGGACCAACTTCAAGTTTGGCAAGCTGTCGATTATCAACTATGGGAGGACAACCAGAAACGAATCCCCAAGGCACCTTATCAGAGTTACCTTGATGGCCGAGCTGTAAGACTGGCAGCAAAGGGATTAACGGGTAACGAGCCCATAGTCCCGCTTTGCGACTGGGATGAATACTGATCAGGCCGGCCGGTATCTCTAAGATCAATATGCAAGGAAACAGGAGCTTTGAGGTCATTGGTTAACGGATACTGCATCAAGTTTCACCTGGCGCATATGAATGTGGGGAACCTGAGCGCGACAGGAGGATTGATTGAAGCGTGATGAAGCGCGGAGATGAACAGGACAGAGTAATATACTGAAGTCCACAAGTACGTCCACGAGGTTCGTGACATCTCAGTGATATAAGTTCAGACCTTGTCTCCAGAAGTCATCGATTGAAGATGAGGTATATACTAGGTAGGTAGGTACTCGTTCAGTAAATGAGAAGTCAGAGTGTGAGCCGCCCGTAACTAACACGGACAGTAGAGCCTTAGAAATGCCGGGCGGTCAACTAGACACTAAACCTGTTCCGCATAACACCCCGCGGCCTGTAAACCTCCCCACTTCCATGAGGACTCTTAGGACTCTCGTCATTCGGCTCTATCAGAAGTAACATTTTACAGTTTATAAAGGCACCCAAAGACAACCCGTCAAAATGGGGCGAGAAGATCAAATCGAAGAGCGCGAAGTGCTCGAATCTATTTTCCCGGATGAAATCACAGGTACAAATCTGCTGCTGAAAACCCATGTTGTTTTCTTTGCCTAACCAGTGCTGTAGATATCTCTGAAACGGAGTTTAGAGTATCAGTTGCGTTAGACATTCCAGGCGAAGAAGATCAAGATCCTCCTACCATACTTCTCCAAGTGAGATATCCAGAAGATTATCCCGAAAAGCCGCCTCATCTCGACATCCTCGCTCCTCCAAATGCCACACCCCACGAACACTTCAACATTGCAGAAGACCGCGACCAGCTCCTTGCCAGTCTCGACGATACCATTCAAGAAAACCTCGGAATGGCCATGGTCTTTGCAATTGTATCAACATTAAAGGACAATGCTGAGCAGCTTGTCCAAGAGCGCAAGGACGTCATCACAAAGGCCCATGAGGAAGCTGCGCTGGCTGCTGAGGCAGAGGAGAACAAGAAATTTCACGGCACAGCTGTTACACCCGAGACATTTTTGAAGTGGCGGGAGGGTTTCTTGAAAGAGATGGAGGAGAAGAGGCAGCAGGAGGAAGAGGAGCGTCTCGCTGAGCTGAAGAAGGCGAAGACCAAGGAGCCCGCTCGCATGACTGGTAGACAGCTCTGGGAGAGGGGTCTTGCTGGTAAGGGTGAAGAGGAAGAGGACGACATGCCTGTCGAGGGTATCGAGAAACTTCAAGTTGAGGCCGCATAAGGTGGCATATAACAAGCATGCATTACTCGGAGTTTGGGCTTGGGAACTGATACAAAAAGACGAACAGCTTACTACAACTTGAGACGACGGATGTTGCCACGGATTTATATGGCCTTGAATGGCTACGAAAGGCATTGGGAGAACTAGTGCTGCCATGATGATATAGACTTGGGTCTGGGCCATCCAGTTTTAACTACAACTAGAGGCAACAAGGTTTCTTCTAGATATGCCCATTTTTTGTTCCTAAACGCCATACGTAATGCTCACATGTCCAATTTCTCTGTCCTTACTTAAAATCATCAACCTTGCATTTCAGCGTCTTCCTCTGCGCCATCACTGGCATCCTCCCAGTCATCTTCCTCACCATCAACTGGTTCACCAAGCTCCTTGTTGATCTCTGATAGCAATTCCTTGGCGTGCTCACCCAGGCGCTCATCTTCGTAATCCTGCTGTTGATACAGTTTCAAGCACTGCATAAGCCATTGACGCGATGACTTCCATGATCCTTTCCATTCCTCGCTGACCTTTGCTTCGTCGTTCCATGGCTTTGAGGCAGTAGTCTTGAGCTTTTCGCCTGTGATATATAGGCACCAACCACCCAAGTACCATGCCTCAACACTTGTGTCGTCATCAGTAACAAGTCGCTCCAGCACACTCAATGCCTCGTCTTCTAATTCGGTCTCCATCAACAAACGAGCAAGCGCAATTCTGGTGGGGAATTCGGGAACATCAGGGTGCTGAGGAGGGAGTTTCTGCCACAGCTCGAGACTTCTACGCAGAGCTGTCTGGGCTTCGTTGGCGCGATTCTGTGAGATTCTAACATTGGCCACTGTTTGCCATGTCTCTGGCGCAGCAGGGGCAAGAAGCATAGCCTCGGTGATAAGAGTCTCGCAACGTGACTCGGCATCAGGTTCCCATGACAGATCGGTCATGTACACCTCAGCCACAGCGCACAGGACTCCTCCGAGCTTGTTTTGCTTCTCTTGAAGGGCGGTCCTTTGCTCAGGGGTTGGCGATCGAAGCTCGCTCAGAACTGCGATCTGCTTTCGAAGAGCGGTAGCACCTCGCTCATACCATTGTACACTGTCGAGACCACCCTCCTCGCTAAGCTGTGCAAGTAGCAGGAACTTCTCAGGACCTCCACCAATCTTCTCATCTGCGGTACCGTCTTCGTCAAGAAAGACTGCGCGCTCAAACGCGGCTCGCGCCTCGTCAATGTCGCCAGACTCGACAAAAATTGTACCTAGAAGATTGGCAGCACTGAGCTCAAAGTCGCCGCCCTGGCCAGTAGCATCAAGAGCCTGCTGGGCAAGGGTGGCAGCCTCTTCTAATTTTCCGACCTCGAGTTGAGTTTGCGCATCAACAAGGAGTCTTGCGATGTCCGGATTTGTCTTTTTGGCGTCGGGTTTCGAAGGCGCCATAATGCTATGAGGCGGGGTGTGTGATTGATATGAGATATGTCGACGTTTCTAGAAAAAGGGAATGATGCAGTAGTATTATAGAAGGCCAGATGTGAGCCACGGTGAGATATCGGGGCGTGGGATCCAATCAAAAGGCGACTGTTGCAAGAAATATAATCGAGATATTGTGTTGGTAGCTAATGGACAGTCTTGTTCTGTCAGAAGCTTGTGCCTTGGTGTTGAGTGGGAAACTGAAAAATTTAGGCGGGTCTTATCGATAACAACCCATGAGGGTCGCCAGCCGTGAATCTTGGTTTTCGATTATTGTCTCTCTCTCTCTCTTCTTCTACTCCAGGTAAAAGTTGACCAATGGTGGCAAACTAAATACAATTTCCGTTTCATGTACCGGCCAGCTAGAGTAGGCTCTGCTGGCGTCTCACCATTTACACTGCTATCTTTCCCATTTTTCAAAGCCAGACACTTCTTTGAAAGCTGAGGGGCATATCTAGATGGACAGAATGCCACCCCACCTTGTAACATGGGAGATTGACACGAACCGTCATTAGTAGACAGATTGGCAAGTTTATTGAGCCAGATGATTAGGCAAACGGGCTCCTAAGGAACTACTTTACCACTCTAGCCACTGTGCTGAATACAGTTTTACGAAATCAGTGCTTGTGCGGTTATAGAGTATCAGAGCCCAAGGCTGTCCCGGTATTTCTTTCGGAGCCAGTGCGGGGCATTCGCGGGCCGCGGGGCAGAGTGGAATACCTAGGATCAGTACCCATCCGACTCATTAAGCATTTGTCATTGCTTGTTGTGACATGTAGGCTTTCCGATAACTTCGATATATAATCCTGCCTATTCAACATCACTGGCCCAGGCATCAAAGCACATATCTCATCATGTTCACCGGAATTGTTGAAGAAGTAGGAGGTCCGTTATATTCACGTTAATCTTCGATACTCACTCACTCACTCACTTGCTTCTAGTTGTCTCCAACCTCAACACCAACGACTCAACAGGAGGCACCTCTCTTACCATTTCCATTCCTTCTGGCTCAAAGCTCCTCTCAGACTGCCATGACGGCGACTCCATTTCTGTCAACGGCGTCTGCCTTACAGTCACATCTTTCACCCCCGAGGCTTTCACCATCGGCGTTGCCCCCGAGACTCTACGCATCACCAACTTAGGCGATCTCAAGCAGGACAGTAACGTCAACCTTGAGCGTGCTGTTCGGGCTGATACCCGTATGGGCGGCCACTTTGTTCAGGGCCACGTTGACACTACTGCGGAGATCCTCTCTGTTGAGAAAGATGGCAATGCCTTGACCTTCCGGTTCCAACCAGCCCGCAAGGATATGCTGCGGTACATTGTGTACAAGGGGTTTATCGCAATCGATGGCACAAGCTTGACTGTCACCAAGGTCAACGACGATGAAGCATGGTGGGAAGTTATGCTGATTGCGTACACCCAAGAGAGGGTCGTCGTGGCGCAGAAGAAAAAGGGTGACACTGTCAATGTTGAAGTTGATATGATGGCCAAGTATGCAGAGAAGTCTCTGGGCGGTGTTGTTGGCTCGGAACCAGGAGCTGCTGCCTCGTTTCCCTTCATTGAGAAGATCGTTGAAAGAATCGTGGCCCAGGGATTCGGCGGAAAGCCATGAGCGCAATAGACTTAATCATCAAAGGTTTATTCGTACTTCTCATAATCCTGGGTATCACTATGCTCGTGGATTCTATCGGCTTGTTACCACTGACACTCAAATGCAATTGCCTTGAAACACCGACCATTCCATCCTATTGGTACCGTCTGCCATTCACTATAATCAGAATATCTCTCCTTTCCCAATATCCGCACGCGTTTGTCTCCCCACGCGTATACAAAACTATTATGCATCACCCCAGACTTCTGCAATCTTGGTGCTCAAAGGCTTGGTAAACTTCTTTCGTCCGACGAGATGACTTGTCCGACTAAAGACCAGCTCGCGTTTGCGTTTCAGCCCCTGTTCGCCACTTCCGCAAGCCTCAAAGGCCTTGACAAAATCATACGGAGTTTTCCAACGCTTCTGAATTTCGAGCGCTCTTTCTCCCGTGATGCCCTTTGTGGTCATAAGCATTTTCAAAAATACGTCTCGCAGGGTTATAGACTCTGACTTGGATGCAAGGGACGAAAAGGCGGGATAAGTGATATACCAGTCTGGAGATATAGATTCTCTCAGGTGCTTCAACAGAGGAAGATAATTCTGAGATGTAAGAATTTTGGTAGGAATGACGTTGAGTGGTTTGCTCTCGTATGTCCGCTTCAGCATCGCTGTCATGCGAGCAAGATACCTGACTGTGTCGTCCATTTTTGCCGTCCTCTTCACAAAGTAGCCGTTGACGACCTGTGTGGAGGCAATGGCCGACCGGACGGCTTCGGCATATCTAGATGCTACTTCCGGGTCCATGGAAATCTCTTCGATGATGTAAATGACTTTCCTCACACCTGAACGCTGCAAGCGAAACTTTTGCTCGTGGAACCTACCATCCTTGATACTCCCAATCAGGTCATCAAGGCGTTTCCTTTCAACAATCCAGTCCAAAACGACCTCAGCGCCCTCGGCGCCTTGGGATATGAGCAGATTTGGGTCATGGCATTTCGCGATCCACTGGGCATCTCCGAGTTCCATACTTCGCATGATAGGTTTTGCGCCCAGTTTTGCTAGCTCCTCTTGCATATAATCGCGATCAGTCTTCGCTCTGACCTCGCGAACATCTAGTACTAAGTGTACTGTGAAGGACCCCGGAGGTAGTCGGATTGGTGTGAAATTTGGCAACGAATTGTCGGCTGATACTGTTGGGCCATCAGACACAATGTTTTGGTATTCAGAAGGGGCTTTCGCAGGTTCCGAAATTTCAATGGAAGGCGACCTAGGCCTACGATTGGATATTGGTTGACAATCTGGATTGACAGGCTGTGCTGAAGTCGGGTCTTTAGCTCTTCCATTCTCGGCCTGCCAGTGCTCCGTGTCTTTTATACGTTTCGCAACTTCCCATCCTTCGTCAGTCAAGGCGTATCTCCGTAGAGGCCGTCCTCTTTCGTAAACCAATTCCTTTTGCAGCAAAGTTTTCATCGAATTCCAGGCAGTGTAAAATTTGGTAGGGTCGCTAGGAACCGAGAAAGATGAGTCACAATGCGGTTGTGCAACTTCAATAAGTTCCGCCTTTGTCATCCCAACAGAAGAGTCTTCATCCAGCATAGAAAGGCCAACCACTAAAGCAAAGGCTCCAGAGCGTAAAGCAGGAACATATGCTTTAGGTTTCCGTGCCTTTTTGGCAGGCTTTGAAGAGCCCTCGCCATTGTCGACTCCAGAAACTGGTATCGCCTTACGAGACCTTGGGTGCGGGGGCATAGGCAGACCATTTTGTTCGCAGTGCTTCTTTAATTGCTGCTCAAGGCGTTCACAGAGTTTGGGGCCGAAACCTTTGAGTTGCTGCAACTGTGCAGGGTGTTCAAAGGTAATTGGACATGCTTTTAACGAATTATAAGCAGTTCTGTAAGTTGTAACGCCTTTCGAATTGCGTTCGCGCGCAAGATCGAGCCATTCTTTGACCCAAGCCAGCAGCTGCGGGTTGGCCGAATCGGCATCATCCATGCTGCCTACACCCTCTAGTTGCACAACTGAAGGCCTCAAAAGGGGTAATTCTTTAGGTATTCCAGAATTTGGCGATCAAAATTCAATACAAGACGAGCGGCAATCCGCCCAAATACGAGGTCGTCAATGTTGTCCTCGTCTCCGTATGTCGTGAGGATGACGCGTTGAGAGCTTCGCGTTGCCTGGAGTGGGTGTAGAGACTTGACACGAGATCACGTGCCTCTTTCGGTCATACATCAATGGGTCATTGGGCGGTGAGAGGTCTTCCGTAAGTTGAGGTGAGAGAAATGTACATGGATGCCCAAGGTGAACTCTTGGCCTGTAGGTAGTAACGTAGGTAGGTAGGCTGACGTGAGGCCCTGCGCCAAACAAAATTGTGGCGGGTAAGGCGCTGTGCGATGCACCCAATTAAACCAGGTACAACCGCCACCTGCGAACAGAATACAGCACCTAACGTACCTTAGCTCTGGGCATCGGGTGGGGCATACTGAGAGTTTTGTGTCTGTTTTTAGCACCTCATAGAAACCATTCGATTGAAGCGCTACCTACAAAATAGTATTTTTGACCGCCTGGAAGACTTCTCCATAGCCCCATCTCAAAGCCCGTTGCCTTCAAGCTAAGCTAAGCTAAAGCTCAACTCAGCTTGTGGGATGAAAGTGCAGTGGCTGGTTTGCATAAATAGGTACCTTAGTAGACAATGCACTGTAGACCCTTGCAGTAGGTACCGGTAAGCACTGTTACCTCATTTAGGTACCCCTCGTATGCTGAGGTGCCCTCTGGAAGGTCCCCCGCCAGCTCGTCACTGCGGAGGCCTCGATTTGTTTCAAAAGGGACTCTTGAGCTCCATCTTTCTCGTTTCCTCCCGCCTGCGTCTTGTCTTCTCTGGTCTTTCGTTCTTTCATCTCATATACTACACCATTAACCTTTCTCGCAAAGAACTCGTAGAATGTCTGACGAAAAGTTCCTCGCCGCTTCGGCAAAGCACCCTATTGTGCCTAACCATGTCTACAAATATGGCACTGCGGGGTTCCGTATGAAGGCCGATCTTCTTGATGGTGTTTCGTTCCGTGTCGGTCTGCTGTCTGGTCTTCGAAGCCGTAAGCTCAATGGCCAGGCCATTGGTGTCATGATCACTGCTAGCCACAACCCAGCCGTCGACAATGGTGTCAAGATCGTTGACCCCATGGGCGAGATGCTTGAACAGGAGTGGGAGACTTATGCTACCAAGCTCGTTAATTCTCCTTCTGATCAGGAGCTTCTCGACAATTACAAGGCTCTGGCTTCTCAGCTCAAGATCGATCTCTCCTCTCCTGGTCGCGTCGTCTATGGCCGTGACACTCGTCCTTCAGGCCACTCTCTCGTTGCTGCCCTCGCTGATGCTCTCGAGGCTACCAACACAGAGTACACAGACTACAAGATCCTCACCACCCCTCAGCTTCACTACCTGACCCGATGCGTCAACACCGAGGGCACCCCTAAGGCCTATGGCAAGGTTAGCGAGCAGGGTTACTACGAGAAAATGTCCGAGGCTTTTACTCGCGCTCTTCGAGGTCGCAAGCCCCAGGGACAGCTTATCGTGGATTGCGCCAACGGTGTTGGAGGTCCCAAGCTCTCTGAGTTCCTCAAGGTCTTGCCCCAAGGTACCATCGACATCAAGGTTGTCAACGATGATGTCCTCCGGCCTGAGGTTCTGAACCTTGATGTAAGTACACCTTAGATCTTCAGCTGCCAGTCGCAATAGCTAACATTTGTTCTCTTAGTCTGGCGCGGACTTCGTCAAGACGAAGCAGCGAGCCCCTCCCAGCCCGAAGCCCGTCCCCGGCGCCCGATGCTGCTCTCTCGATGGTGACGCCGATCGTCTGATTTACTACTGGGTCGATCCCGAGACAGGCTTCTTCATGCTTGATGGCGATCGTATTTCTTCTCTCAATGCCTCTTTTATTGGTGACCTCGTTCGATCTGCCGGTCTTGCTGATGACCTCCGCATTGGCGTTGTTCAGACCGCATATGCCAACGGTGCCAGCACGAATTATATTGAGAAGCACCTTCAGCTTCCCGTCGTCTTCACTCCTACTGGTGTGAAGCATTTGCACCACGCTGCCTGCCAATTCGACGTTGGTGTTTACTTCGAGGCTAATGGTCACGGCACTGTCGTCTTCTCTCAGGAGGCCATCCGTGCTTTCCGTGAGACCGAGCCTCAATCTCCTGCCCAGAAGGATGCTCTCGACACCCTCGCTGCCGTCAGCGACCTCATCAACCAGACCGTCGGCGATGCTATTTCTGATATGCTCATGGTTGAAGTCATTCTCGCCCACAAGGGCTGGACTCTCAAAGATTGGGCCATGACCTACAATGACCTCCCTAACCGTCTTGTTCGCGTTGAAGTTGGCAACAAGGACCTGTTCCAGACCACAGATGCTGAGCGCCGTCTCAGCCACCCTGTGGGTGCCCAGGATGAGATCGACCAATGTGTTAAGAAGTACACCAGTGCCCGATCCTTTGCTAGAGCCAGTGGTACTGAGAACGCGTGCCGTGTCTATGCTGAGGCTGCTACTCGCTCCGAGGCTGATGAACTCGCTAACAAGGTCGCTCAAATCGTCAAGCAATTTGGTTCCTAAGTATACCCTGGTTAGGTGAAAATGGAATCGCATAAAATAACGCGGGGATAAAAGGAGAGACGTACCCAACATAGTACACGTGGGGGAGTGAGTGTCTACAAAGAAGTAAGGAAAGGAAACAAGCAAGGTTTCTCAAAAATGGGTTATCAAGCCCAGGCCAGGATTAGCCGCAGGACGAGGAGCGCGATGCTCAGTCCAATTTAACGATGAATGAAATCTCATTGCTTTATCGGTCAATAGATGGTCTTGCTATTGCAGTTTCACATAGTCAATGAGATCACACAGGGTTAGGACGAAAGACTAGATATTAAACCAAAAGATCTTTTGACTAGGTAACTCCGGAGTGCTGTTTTTGTGGTATCACTCATAACGGGTCGTCAACTCACTACGCCATCCCTCGCGATTATGTCGTTTTCTCTCTCTTATGTTTGTATCTAGCAGCAATGTTTACCCCGTGTAAGATGCAAGACGCCGTCCCCCTTATACACAGATCCCAAGTTCCCGCAAGTGTCTATCTCCTTGCTCCCTGTGTCTCCTTTTTAACCCTTGGATGTCTTTTTTTTTACTTCTCGTGTCATCATTAGCAAGAAATCGGCACTGTCTTATATAGAAGCCTTTTAGCACATGCGGTACTCAAGCGCACCCTTGGAGGCACGGTTAGCATCTTCGGTTTCCAACTCGTAGGAGATCTTGATGTCAAGATCGCGTCTGTTCTTGGAGTTGGGTCGGACATCAAGGTTGAGAGCAATCTGCTCGCCGTGCTGGACGGTGAGAACATCCTCGAAGTAGAAGACGGTCTGCTTCCAGTGGGTGTACTTGGTATGTGGGCCAGTGGAGAAGCGGATGGGCTTGTGGCAGGCGGTGAAGTCGATATCGAACCACGAGACCAGGGCGTGGACGAAGTCATCGCGGGTAACGGAGAGCTTGAAGGGAACATTGAAAGCCAAATCATCCGTGGTGCACTTGTAAAGATCGAGCGTGAGGACGGCAGTGGGCTCGGTGACAGCGGCCTTGACCTCGACGGTATCAACGAGGGGCTCGGAGAGAGCAGTGGCCTTGAGGGGGGTGTAGTCGAAGCCATAAACATCGTTCCAGACTAAGACGGTGTTAGCAAGTAAACTTATGAGCCGAGAGTCAAAGCACGGCAGTCACTTACACTCAATCTTGTCCTCCTTGTAATCGCCGTCCTCAATACCAGCGAAGAAGATAGTGGCCTTGTCGGGGAAGATCAAGCCATCCTTCTGGAGATAAGTGTCTCGGGCATAAAGAACGGTGTCGAGCATGGACTCGTATAGAAGGAAGTAGCCCATCCACTCTGAGATGATGATATCAACCTTGGGGAAAGGCAACTCGACCTCCTCCATCTTGCCTTGGAGAAGGGTGATCTTGTCGGAAAGACCGTTAACCTTGACGATCTCACGGGCCTTGAAGATGATTGTGGACATATCCACACCAATAACATGTTTGGCGCCAGCCTTGGCCGCGAACCTGTGAATAATTTCCGTCAATTCGAGTTCATTTGATGTTTCGTCGGGTCATAGAGAACATGGCATGTCGCAAAGGTGCGAAGTGCTATGGTTCCCCAAGCGCGGGGCATAACGAGGGGCTTTTGGAGGGTCTCGTTGCGCACGTACATTGAGAGAATGGCCGTACCACAGCCAACATCAAGAACCACCTTGTCCTTGAAAATGTGCTTGTTTTGCATAATGGCGTTCATGTACGATCGTGTGCGGACCTCATCTTTCTGCAGTTGTAGAGAACCTGGTCAGCCAGTGCTCGTACAGCAGCGCAAGGACAGTGGGGAGGGGAGCTACATACCAACATCTCCTCGTGGATACCTATCGCAGAGGAGCAATATGTCAGTTCTATTCTTCCAAATGGTTATGGAGCTTCAGTGGTTGTTCGTACCATGGTGATCATAGCTAAATCGGCGCAGTTAGTATACAATGATTCTCTTGTAGAGCTGGGCGAACTGACCTCTTGAAGTAATGCTGCTCGCTATGCTCCATAGAGTTCATCTTTTGCTCAGCAATCTCGACATCCATCTTATCGCCGCTCATTTTGAAGAATTATTGAGTGTAACGGAGGTTTAAAATTGTTGAATCCTGTTTTTTGGGTGATGGAGAGAAGAAGAAAAGGCAGAGGAAAAAAGATTGAGTCGCAAAACGGAACAATACAGATTTGGCGGGCGAGACGGGGAACCACAGACCAATGCGATTTTGCTAGTTCGGGCAGAAAATAATTTATCGCCGTCACCGCCCGATTTTTTAAAGGCGGCAAAGGGACCCTTTTTTCCAACGCCATCTGCCTTTTCGGTTAGCTTGAAAAAGGTACAAGTCAGGTTGCGCATGGAACTCTTCAAGGTAAGGTAACAATACTGGCTGAAAACAGACAAAAGAAAAGTTTGAGAAAAAGAATCGAGGCATAACATTGGATTGACGAAATTTTAAGGTCTTGGCTGAAGCCGGTGGGAGTCCTGCAGAGCTGCAATGAACCTGGTGTCGTTATGTTTTATGCTATCAAAAGCTGTACTGGTAACGCATGCCTACCTAAGAATTGAATGTTTGTGTGTCACACACATTACAAGAAGAGTATGACCTCAGCTTTCCAATTAGTTACAGCACAATTACCCCCCCCCCCCCCCCCCCCCAATATAGAATGAGCTCATATGGATGTGAAAGGATCGAAATTAGTACTTGTAGCAATAGACACTACTTCAGAAGTACCTTCTAGATCTTAGGTTGTATTCATCTATCTACGGCCTTGTCGAGATCTGCCTCAGCAGAGCGTGGCCTATAACTCGAGGGAGTCTTCTTCATCACAACTGGGAATCTTCAGTCGACAATCAACCCGTTTACCAACCATCTACCATCATGGCCATTCTTTTTCGTGCGGTAATCCAATAAACGCCCTGGCGCCAATACATGCATTCGAACTTAGACAAACGAACCCTCTTTACGTTGTGCGGCGACGCCGTTGAGCACATTACACCAGCAAGACACTGTTGATGCAGCCCTCATTCTCCGGGTTGTTAGTAACCTGGGCATAGCGACCCCAGACGACCTTTCCACCAGCGGTTACGAGACCAAGTTCGCTGACGTTGACCTCGATAACGGTACCCTTGGTCAAAACACCCAGCTGGGTGTAAAGAGGGTTCTGCGGGTTCTTCTTGACGCTGATGATGGGGAGCTGGACAGTGACACCAAGCTCGGGGTGTGTGACATTGGCCTTCTTATAACGGAGACCCATAGGTCGAATGAAGCGCTCGTGCTTGGGGTTGCGTCGAGTGAAGTCGGGTCCGACAAAGGTAGGCTTGGTAACCATGCGCTTCCAAGCCTTCTTCTGGATCTTCTTACCGGTCTTGACAACCTTGAACATCTCCTCCTCGCTGATACCTCGGACCTTGGGAAGGGGAACGGCAAACTTGGCCGCCTTCTCAGCTCGCTTGTTCTTGATGGCACTGCTGAGAGCCTTGGCAGTCGACGGGTTTGTGCGGTCCAGCAGATAAGAAGGCATAGGTGTTGTGGGCTCCTTCTCGTCGGCGGTCTTGACGTTGCGCTCCTCGTGCGCCTTGATGGCCTTCTTCATCTGAATCTTCTCCTTGTGTCGCTTTTGCTGGTACAGCTTGGCTCGGAGACCGCGCAGATTCTGGGCATCCTGAGAAGCCTTGTGGCCCTCACGGGCGGTACGCTTGCGAACTCGTTCCTCATGATCAAGACGGCGACCGTGTAGCTTTCGCCATCTTTCCATATACTCGTTCTGAGGCTTTAAGGGAATTAGTCATTCATTCTGGCAAACTTTCGCTCTTCAATGCATACCATCTTGTCTGTATCGCCCAGGCAGGGACTTTATTATGGCTAGCGGGGAGTTGATGCTGAAATTTCCCTGGCGATAAAAAAAAAGTGGCGGTTTATCGGGAGGCGGCGCTGGTACTGAGACCGTCCTGTCGGCGCTCGGTGGTACGCTTTTCCGGACGCACCCATGAGCCAACGCCTGAACTTTTTCGAGATGCACTACAACGACATCAAGGCCGACAGCCCATTCCCTTCAATTGACCAGCGATAGTGCCCACGCCCGAAAGGCACTGCGGTCCACAATGAGCAGGGCACTTTTCCGCTCCATCTTGGAGCTTAGAGCTCCAAGCGCCCGACTCTCGACACCCTCGTCTCTATTGGCAATCCAAGCCCGCACCTTCACCTCCACAGCTCCCATCGTCGAGCCATTCCCTGAGCGTCACCCAAAGAATGCTACCAATCCCACGGCAAATGAAACTCGACCCCTCGCTTTGAAAGTTAGCCATCCTACACCGCCTCCAAAGCCTATGGAAGACTCAGTCAGGAACCTTCTGCCATTCCTTGCAGCCCAGCCAGACCACTACATCACGGTTCATGTCCATGGATTCCCCTACCTTGTGCGCGAAGGCGATCAAGTTCGTCTACCTTTCCGAATGCCCGGTGTTCAGCCTGGAGATGTACTGCGACTCAACCGTGCGAGTGTCCTTGGTAGCAGAGATTACACCATGAAAGGCGCTCCCCATATTGATGAGCGGGTTTTTGAGTGCAGGGCTACTGTTGTTGGCACAGAATCTGAGCCGCTACGAATCAAAATCAAGAAGAAGAGGAGGCAAAGGAGAATGAGACAGGCAAAAAGCAAGCATCGATATACTATTTTACGGATTTCGGAACTGAACATCAACAACTTGGAGGATATCGAATGATTTACGAGATGGCACAAGGTTGAGAGGAAGATGTTTCGAGGATCTGTTTCAACAAAACCGTTGATGTCCATGTACAAATAGGAAATGCCTTGAAACAATGTACCATTACCAGCTTCAAGCTGGCTGTACAATAATACAGCAAACTTTACAAAGCCAATGGAGCGTTTCAAGTTCGTTGATAGCGCTGAAAATGCTTTTATTCAATTAACTCGCTGAAACGCGCAGTTAAGAGCCATAGACGCCCCTGGCTTCCGAAAGCCTTGCCATATTATAAAAAAAATCCCTTATGTCTGAAGTACAAAAGTAAGTATGCAGGTATGCAGCGAATGACAAGAATGATACTCCTCAACACCCAGCTATGAATGCTTTCTTTCTAATCCGTTCAAATTGGGTCATAAAACTCATTGATCCAGCGAGCAATAGCGCCTCGACAACTCCAACATTATGCATGATAATTCTTCTGTCACATTCTCCCGGCCATCGCTTTCTTAACACTGGCCCAATAAGCCTGTGGCCAAACGCTTAAGCTTTCGCTCTCTGTTGGCATGCGCTCCCGGCATCTCGTTACCACGCTCTGGATGATTCTAGCAAGCAGCTCCTCATCAATGGGGAGAGCCTTGTCGGTGAGCTCTGCGGGGTATAAGAAGGGGTCGGACTCGTGCAATAGCTCCTCGCAGGTTGGTCGCATATGGTGGTCGCGGTTAAGGCAGCGCCTCATAGTGCGGATGAGCGAAGGGGGAACGGACATGCCTCCCATGCCACGTGAGGGAAACTCGATGTCGTGATCCCAGTTAATGATGGCTTGACATCTTGACATTTGGTTGGCGATGTGGCCAAATGGAGGGAGACCGTAAACCATCTGATACAAAATGCAACCCAGAGACCATATGTCGCTGGGCTTGCCCAATTTCATTAGCTTAGGCCGGCCTGGAACGCGGCCACCTCGGGGGTTATTTGAGTCCATGAGAGACTCAGGTGACATGTAATTGGGTGTTCCAACCTGAGTCTCGCGGTGGACGTTGACGGTCTCATCGGTTTGGATAGCGTTCGCGATGCCAAAGTCAATGAGCTTGAGCTGACCCTTCACGAGCACAAAATTGGCAGGCTTGAGATCCGAGTGGACAATATCACACTGGTGAACTGCTTGCAAACACTCAAGCATCTCTTTCCAGTAAAATCGTACAAAGACTGGGTCGAACTTGGCAGCCTCGGGGTTATACCGCTTTCTCAAAAAAGTGTTGAAGTCGAGTTCTCCAATCTCCATAAGCTGTACCAAGTTAGTAGATCCTCTGCGATGCTAGCTGATGTGAACTTACCAAAGTGAGAACTTGCTTCTCTGTATTCATCTCACAGTCAAACAGCTTGATAACTCGCTCCACCTCTCCAAGCTTCTTCAAAAGATCAATCTCACCAAGATAGCCCTTAATGGTCGAGTCATCTGCATTCTCCAGAGACACCCGCTTCAGAGCGAACATCTTGCCATTCTCGGCAGCAACACGGTACACCTTTCCACTGCCACCTCGGCCAAGACAGTCGAGTCGAGTATAGGCTACACCGTTCACTCGCAGAATGTTCCTCCTCTGCTTTGCCTGTGTAGTCGTAGCAGCACCCGCAGTAGTAGTGGCAGCTTCGAGGACAGACATCTTGGGAGGTGGCGGTGGAGCCTGGCGAAGGGGCGTATTTCTCGCCATAGAAGCAAGAGGCTTTCGGTCGGGTGAGACTGTTCTCAGGGGAACAGGGTCGGCGCTCATCGGTCTTTTTGGCATCTTGTCCAGAAGAACTTCCATTGATGGTTTCGTCCTCCTGAGGCTTGCTTGGACATCGTTCTCCTGATCTCGACCGGAGGGGAGTTCTGGGCGAGGTGCGGGGAGTCTGTAGTGGATCTCTTCGTCCTGTTCAGGCTTCGGTTCGGACTCGGGAACCTGAGCTTCTGGTGTAGGCTCACGAGGTGATGTTTCCCTGGATGCTCTTGCAGAGCCTAGGCGTAGGTCCATGTTGGAAGCATTACGGCGATGGACTGCCCTCGCAGCGGCTTGTCCACTTACCGGGCTTCCTGAGTTGAAATCTCGAATACCGTCTCCATAGTATGAAGCGGCATGTTGATCTTCCCCGGGCTGGCTCTCAGCTTCCTGACTAGACAACATCAATTCTCCATCGGCGTTAGGCTCCCCCTCCTCTTCACTCTGCCGTCGGCGACCGCGTCGGGCTGGTCCGCTCAAAAAGCTACCTGCAACCTTGCTGACACGCTTCACTCGCATTGAACTCTGCAGATTAATATTATCCTCAGGTCGTGTCCTCGTACTTGTTGAGGGGTATCGAGAGACACTGCCTTGGTGGAAGGGAGGGGGATTTCGCGCGACTGTGGCTGGCTCTTCAGGTTGGTCGTTGTCGTCAATAGCAGATCTATCTAACATGGATCGCTCCATCGACCTCCCTGACGAAGGGCCAGTGGAGCCGACTCGGCTTCTGTTGCTTGGAGAACCAGCATTAATTCGGACGACGCGTCCACCTTGTGCAGGTGTGTTCACGTCCAATTGAGAATCATGTTTGGAATCCTTAGAGTCCTGCTTGGAATCTTGTCTCTCGTCAGAAGACATATCGCGGCTACCAGGGCGGCTGTGAGGTTGAGATCGTTGATTTGATCGGGAGACAGAAGTTGAGCGTCGCTTCGTTGGCTTCATTTGACTGAGGCTCTGAGGTGTGTTGCTTAATCTTACAACCCTCTTTCGTACTGGACTTATTTCTCTGCTTGTAGCTGGTGTTGGGCTAGCTTGTCTTGAGGACCTTGCGTCGTGGGCCTGGACGCTTCCGGATCTTCTGTGCCGGCGTGTCTCAGTCGCTGATGATGTGGACGCGTTCAGCGCACTGGTACGCCGCCGCGTCCGAGGAGGTGAAGGAGCTTGCTCTGTTGATGCAGGTGCGCCGTCGTTCAGCAGCGCCTTGGTGAGAGCGCTCAGCTTCATAGGTACTGGGATCTCATCCTCGGAGCTGTCGTCGTGGAACTGCTGAGGTTTGGGATGGTAGCCTTTAGGGAGAGCAGCATTTGTTGCCCCATGGAAGTTGTCACTGTGATTCATAATGGGTCGCGATGGCAATCTCCTCAAAGCTTGCCGCTGGGATGTTCGTCGGACAAGACCATTGCCCATGGGTGTGGGTGAAGCTGTCGCCATATCGATAATGTCTTCAAGGTAAAGCGCGTTCGGGCGTGTGTAGTGATCGAAGCGGTGAGGAATTGGAGATGGCTGATTCGGCGGCGGGATAAAGTATTTGCTACGAGTCGGTTATTATTGCCATTGCTTGCATTGCAAGGTGATTTCCAAAACTTGAGACTATCGCGTCTGGGTCAGGGAAGAGAGATATGGAAAGCAAGGCGTGTTGTTCGACGAGAAAATATGGTCCAATCAGGGAGCTGTCGGTTGCCGAGCAACCAATCTCGCCTGAGCTTAACTAGCGGCCAAGTGTAGGGTTGCAATCTCATGCGGGATGACTGCGACATGGAAACAAAGAGGATATGACTGATACCCAATGTTCTGGAAATTGGTAAAAGCGATATAGGCTACCGTTAAATCGTATAAAGCTTTGATTCCGTCATAGTCAAGTCTAGAACATGTATTCAAGTTGTCTAACGTTATTCAACAAGTAGTCTGTAACGATGTTGAATATGTACAATGTGCAGCTAGTTATTACATCACCAAAATGTATGACTTGAAAGAAAGAAAGAGAAAAGCAGATATAGTTCAAGCATATTTCAACTAGACTATAAAAGCCATACATCCATTCAAGCTAAGGCGTATCCATCTGAAAGGGTTTAAAGGGTATTCAAAAACATTTCCTTTGTCAAATATTACAGTTGAGATTTCGAAGAAAAGCTACCCCAGCGAACAAGCAAACATGCCTTTCTCCACAAAGAAACTACCAAGGCAGACCCATGAAAGCGGTCATTAAGGTAACTAAGATTTCTAGCCAATCACACATCTGAAACATCGACGTTACGTCGAGTTGCAAGTGAGCCACATCGTCAAACCAGCTCAAGCTACGGAGTACATAGAGTACCTCCCCCTCTCTCATGCAGGCTCGCATTATTTCCAACTTCATTCACTCGCCATTCAAAGGTCGATGCGCTCGCAATGGCAACTCACAGGGGGCGGCCATGGGCGCGGATTTTCTCCTTGACCGTCCTCGTCCTCGCTTTTACGGTAGTTGTCGATGCCTCAACTGGCGACAAGCTGCCAGAATTTAAGGATTGCCTCAAGGTGAGCCAATGCAGCACAAAAGCGACACCAAAGATTAACCATGGCCACAGGTCTGCAACGCTGAAAACTGCTCCCCTGATAAACCGCAAACTCCAATCCGTATATTCACCCGATCCGCACGTCCAAAGACACAGCTAATATGAACTCCCGACAACAGCTGTTCTACATCGACTCCTATTCTGGACTTGCGCCAGCGAATGCGATTATGCCTGCCAGCATATTGTAACGGGTCAGCGCATGGCCGCGGGCCTCACGGTCGAACAATTCTACGGGAAATGGCCCTTCTATCGCTTTCTCGGCATGCAGGAGCCCTTTAGTGTCCTCTTTTCGCTCGGCAATCTCTGGGCGCATTGGGATGGCTTGAAGAAGGTCCAGTCTAGGATACCGAAATCCTATTCCCTGCGAATATTCTATGATTGGCTAGCGTATGTCGGTATCTCCTCTTGGGTTTTCAGCTCTATCTTTCATACTCGTGATTTCCGGTTCACCGAGGAGCTTGATTACTTTGCTGCTGGCGCCAATGTCCTGTACGGTCTGTACTACACAGTCGTGAGAGTTTTCAGACTGGATAAACGCACCCCGCGAAGAAGAACCACCCTACGAGTTTGGTCGCTCGTCTGCGCCTCTCTCTTTCTCGGCCACGTCTCGTACCTCAAGTTTATCCGCTGGGATTATACATACAACATGACTGCAAACGTGGCAGCAGGGATCGTGCAGAATGTCCTGTGGACCTGGTTTAGTTTCAAGAGATATAGGGAGTCGAGGCGCATGTGGGCTGTTTGGCCCGGTTTCGTGGTTGCTTGGATTATATTTGCCATGAGCATGGAACTGTTTGATTTCCCACCTTGGCTGGGTTGTATTGACGCTCACAGCTTGTGGCACTTCATGACGATTGGACCGACAATTCTATGGTACAAGTAAGCTTTGCAGGCCTAATCACTATTCTTAAACTGCTAACATTTGGAAGCTTTCTAGTCAAAGATGCTCGGGACGATATGGCTGGAAGCCAGAGACTCAAGCTTTAGTAAGAGACAGACTAATGCCTGTATCAAGATACACATTTCATATAATTAATTACTTAGTTCATATTATCCATATCCCTGAGTGATATGGGATGTATAGTTGTCATTAATACTTCTTTGTTGCAGAGTGTCCTGTATTGAGAAGTGGTTCTTGAATAATGCGAGTCGTCCAAAATGGCATGAACATCAAAACGACCCCCACATCATTGTTTCCAATTCCTTGCAAAGAGCGAACCAGCCCAGGTTTCCCACCGTGGTCTAGTATTCCACCTTCTCATCATACGACGTCCAAAACAAACCCAATATATATACCTCTTTATTTTCCTTCGACTTTTGACCAGATCTATGGTTCCTATAAAAACGCAGTTAAAGCCAATATGATCTGCCCTCTTCGACATCTAAGGGCAACATTAAATCTCTCGCAGTCCTCCCAGATGTTCTGCGTCAATGCCTAGGCAAGGCAGGGTTTTTGTGGCAGATACGTTCTTAACCCAGCTTGAACATCCCCATCAATCGGCTGTGTACCATGACTCTCATGTGCTGAGAAGATCGCGCACTGAAAGCCCTCGGCCTTTCGAGTCACGACGATCGTTGTTCAGCATCAGCAATGCAGCCATGGCCTCTTGATCAAGTTCGCTCTGGGGATTGAGAGCCGGGCTTGTCAACGCTGATCCAGGTGCTGAGGCATCGCTGCGGGCATAATGTGGGGCACCATATATCTGTGGGCCGAATGCTGGAGATGTGCCAGCAGAAACGCTGTAACTATAACGTCGATGGTCGGTCGATACAGAAGAATATGATTGCGCCCTGTTGCGTGAGTCCTGAGGTGGGAGAGCAGGAGACACTGATGGGTGGCGAGGGTTACGATCTGACATTGCCGTCATGGCGGGTGACGTGACATCGGAGTCTTCCATCTCGACATCTTCATCGCCAACTGGGTCTTCTTGGAAAGTCGGGTGAAATTCACGAATAGACGGCAAACGGTCGCGCCCTGTGGGTGTTTGCCGCCCGGACTCGGTCTGGCCATTATCTTCCTCCTGTTGTGCTTTCAGCTTGGAGACGCAATCCTCCAGGTATCGAATATACTCGATTGAAGCCTGCCATACAGAGCCTTTAGTCAGCCGCAGTCCTATTCTCATGTACAAGATTTATACACATACCTGGAGGATCGACAACTTATGCATGTCTCCTGTACAAGCCGGGATCATTCCTTTAAGCACAGCAAACTCCTCATTCATCTTACTCCGCCTTCGACGCTCGATCAAACTGTGTGCGGTTTTACGGGCAATTTTTCGACCTGCTGCGCTTGTAGCACTCGGTTGCTTTTTCTTCGCCTTATCGTCCGCGGCCGCATCTCCTTTTTCTGACGTTATTATCTTGGAATTGGCTGCTGTGGTCGTTTTTGTTGATGCAGCATTCTTGCTGGTCGTCTTCGCTTTATCTTTGCTACCACCGTTGTCGCCATTGCCATCCTGCCGGGGCTTCATCTGGATGATTTTGCGTGATCTCGTTGGTGGAGGCGGCAGGGCAAACGAGTTGTCCTTTTGGTCTTTCGCAACAGAAGAACGGCGACGTGCCTTCACCGTTTCGGCAGGCTGCATTGGGTATGTTGCTCCTGGGGATGTTGTGGTGAGTCGGTGCGATTTTGTATCTGTTGGTGAGACCTGAGATGACATGGTCGGCGATATGCGGGAAGCATCATGGATTGCTGGAGGCGGCAATTCGAAAGATAGCTGAAATGAGGAGAGCTGTTGAGTTCCGTCCTTGCCTTTGATATCAGATGAAGAACCTGGGGTGAGAGGAAGGCCGGGTCGAGGCATCCTGGAATCGTGGAATCTGAACTCGTCCTCAAAAGGCAGTGATGATACTTATTTGCTCTCCACGACTGATGGCCAATTGAACACGATGGTCAAAAGTCCGAGTCAAGAGAGTATTTGAGAGAAGGATAAATAAAGACAGAGATGCAACCACTGTGGCTATCCTGAAATTATGAGGGAAAGGGTATATGGGAGTCCCAAAGACAGTCAAGTTCCAGTCTCGTTTGAGAGTCAAGATAAAGGTGCGGGCATGGGGGCAAAAGACATTAAATCGGTCACCGAGATCAGCCTACGGATACAGTACCAAACATGCTCCAACGACAATAGATGAACCAAACGGAGCATGCACATGCAGACACGAACACGCAACTCAGCGCACCGTAACGCCGCCTGGCCAGCGAGTTTCACGTTCGAACCCGCTTCTTCCCTCCAATCCAGCGCAATGGGCAGCAGACTATCTCAGGCTTTGTCCAACTTTATCCTAGAGCAACCAGGTTGAAGGGATGCGATTTCATGGACCAAGCATCATCGAGGAAATGGTCGCGTGCTCTATTTGGTGTTGGGCGAATCAGCGTGAGGAATTGATCAACGTGGTCGGGGTAGACTTTTTGGTGGGCAAGGGTCCAGCCTCAGAAGAAGAGGAACGAGGCTTAGGTGGGCGTCCATTCTCGATGGAGAAAGACCTAAAGTTACTTGGGGTCTTTGATGGAGGGCACGAGGGTTGGTAGCGTGCAGCATTGGCACCTTTGTGACAGAAATGAAGGTCAAGGTATCATGATGCTTGTAATGGGTATAAGTCACGGATTTTAGGTGAGTGAGCTCAACTGTTTATTCACGAACGCCTCTCATCCTTCACTATCGAATGAAAAAGAGATATAGTATTGAGAAACAGGGTACTAGGAGTCCGCACCGACAAATCTCCTCTCGAGCTTGGGCCCAGATCGCTCAGGTAATTAAGATCAGAACATGAGCCTACAACGAAAGACGGAGCTTGATGAGATCTCCAAGACTCTCCAACCTTTCGTCTCCACCTCCACCCTGATGTATACACACGATACAATATGTACATGGGGTACTTCACATTCGGCTCCGCAAGCCATTTAAAAAGCCCCGAGCAGTGAACAAACTCAAGACGCATCATGCATCCTTCGGTTTTGAAATAGGCAAAGATATACAACCAGTGCAGAGTGGCACGTGTCCTATCTTGACCCTGGGAGCTCAAAGACACAAAACACTCCGGGATCGATTGGGACAAGACAAGGGTTCTTTCCAACATTCGAATCAACTGTGGAACAAGAAAGGTCGCAACTAGATAATCCGTCTTTGTCATTCGTCCTTCGACTGAATTGAGCACGTGCGCGTACTTTCGACGTCGACGGCTTTTTCTATCATACGGCACACCCCAGCATTTTCCCCAATCCTACTATGGATGAAGTCCACCCATCACCTTCCTGGGTGAACCAACGTGGGGAGAGATCCTGGGGCGGCTCTTGGCCAAGAACATACCCCTGGCAAGCCACGGACCCACGACCAAGGCTTGATCACGCTGCAGCGATTCAAGATCCTTGGCTTTGCTTCCTAAGCTCGACGAGATACTTGATCGACAGCCAACTCTCAGTGGCCTATCACATCCAGTCGTGCTGTTGGATGTGTGCTCTTTTCCTTCTGTCATGGGCAGCCCTATAGAAGTTCACATCCGTAAGTCATCCATGTCGTATCATCATTATCCGAACTCCACTCCAGCTTTTGTATGCAGACTGTATAGTAGTCGGCACTTAGACCTCGTTGCTGGGGTAGGTGACCTTGGTGGTAGGAGTGAACTCCTCCTTGATTGCCCGAACATTGACGAAGCGGGTCAGGAGGTTCTGGCTGCCGGCCTTGTCGTTGGTACCGGAAGCACGAGAACCACCAAAGGGCTGCTGGCCAACAACAGCGCCAGTGCTCTTGCAGTTGACATAGAAGTTTCCGGCAGCGTTACGGAGGTGCTCCTCGGCGAAGCGGGAAGCTTCACGGTCAGCAGCGAACACGGCACCAGTTAGGCCATAGTCGGAGGTGGTCTCAATGAGCTTGCAGACGTCAGCCATGGCGTTGGGGGCAGCATCGTCATAGATGTAGGTGGTGAGGATAGGGCCGAAGAACTCAGTAGAGAAGAACTTGTGGTTGGGGTTGGTAGTGGCGTAGACAGTAGGGTGAATGAAGTAGCCCTTGGAAGAGTCGTACTTTCCACCGACAACGAGCTCGAGGTCCTTGTCGGACTTGGCCTCATCAATGGCACCAGAGAGCTTCTTGAATGAAGCCTCGTGAATGACGGGACCCATGAAGTTGGAGTGTTCAGTAGGGTTGCCAATCTTGATGGCTTCAACCTCAGCGACAAGCTTCTCCTTAAACTCGGGCCACATGGACTTAGGGACGTAAAGTCGAGAGGTGGCACTGCACTTCTGGCCTTGGAACTCAAAGGCACCACGGACAGTCTGCTTGACAGCGTTGTCAATCTCAGCTGTAGGGTCAATCAGGTGGAAGTTCTTGCCGCCAGTCTCACCAACGACACGAGGATAGCCTCGGTATCGGCCCTCAGCGATACCCTGACCGATGGTACCATACAGCTGACGGAAGACAGCGGTGCTTCCAGTGTAGTGGAGAGCAGCAAACTCCTTGTGCTCCAGAACAACCTTGGTGATGTCTACGGGGTTGCCAGGAACGAACTGGATGACATCCTTGGGAAGACCAGCCTCGATCAGGATCTGGTAGACAAGCCAGTTCGATGCAATGGCGAAGTCACTGGGCTTCCATACAACAACGTTTCCGAGAAGGGCAGGGGCACCAGGGAGATTACCGGCAATGGCAGTGAAGTTGAAGGGGCTGACTGCGTACACGAAACCCTCAAGGGCACGGTACTCGAGACGGTTCCAGACGCCGGGAGAGTTGTGCTCAGGCTGGGTATTATAAAGCTGCTCAGCGTAGTGAACATTGAAACGGAGGAAATCAGCCAGCTCAGCAGCTGCGTCGATCTCGGCCTGCCAAGCATTCTTGCCCTGGCCGAGCATAGTAGCAGCCATAATATCGTAGCGGTACTTGGTGGAGATGAGGTCGGCGGCCTTGAGGAAGACGGCAGCTCGATCAGCAAAGGGGAGGGCCTCCCAGGCAGGCTTAGCAGCAAGAGCAGCGTCGATTGCGGCCGAAACATCAGCGGTGGTAGCAGTGTGGTAGGATGCGACAGTGGTGGCATGGTCGGCAGGGTTCTGCTGCTTGGAGAGGGCAGAAGCCTTGATCTATGAGAATTCGTGTAAGGCATGGTTCTTGCAGTGGCCTTGACTTACTGAAACTTACCTGCTTGCCACCAACTACAACGGGAACCTCGATGGGCAGCTTCTTCTGGAGTTTCTCAATAGCCGCAGTCAGACCCTCGCGCTGCTCACTACCCTTGACATAGTGGTGGTTGGGCTCGTTAAAGACCTTGGGGGTCTTGAAGGTAGCCAAAGTCGCAGCAGTTCGCATTTGCTGGGTCTGAGCAACGCTGCGGATACCTCGGGCACCAGCCCTGTTGAGGAACATCATAGAAGACATTATAATGTGAGGTGAGGTGTGGTGAGGTGAATGTTCTTCGTTATCGGGAGTCGTCGAAGTGGAGGGAGGGGTATCACAAAGGCAAAACACAGTAACAAAAGACTCTTGTTCGACGACGATCGAAGATGGAAGATGAAGAGAAAGAAAAGAAGACGGGGGGAAGACGCAGAAGATGGGGGAGAAGAAATAGAAGATAAATCCCTGGCACGACAACCAACGACAACGATCCTGACTAACAGAAATTCCGATATTGGAACAGTTATCACGTCTCAAGACCCAGATCTCGCGTAGCAATTCCTCCTCATCTCAGACAAAAACACTGCACTGCCGTTGCCACGCGAGCTAAGCTGCTCTCCTCACCAAGCTACACACGCCTACAACAGCTAATCTTTGCTATGGTCGCGGCTTATCACGGCCTAAAAAGTGAATGCGTGGGGACATGGCACATGACGTCGCCTGTCTTCCCCAGCTACGGTAAGCCCGGGAATAGAAGCTGATAGGTCAATGGCTCTCTGATGCTGGGGCCGATCTCGGCAGATGGGGCCTGGCATGTTATCTCTGTTTGCCCGCGAAGAGCCGCACCGTACCACTAAAAGCGGTAGTCTCTTTTTTTTACTGTAATCCAGAAGCACATATCAATTTTTTTTACTGGTTTCCAAGAGATTAGAGCAGATGAGGTAGCATTTCCAAAGGTCGTGATGGGATCTGCGTTGTATAAAGCATCCTGACTACAAACATTGCTTTACTTTTTCACTTGTATATCCCTTCATATGCCAATATTTACGCCCCTTCTCCCCAGTTCCAGCTCTAAACTAGGTCCACTGGCGTACCTGATAAACTATGGCCGCAGTTTTCCGAACGTGGGGGACTTTGATGGTCATGTGCTATCTCGAATTGGCACAGATAGTGGTTCTGTCAATCGAAGACTTTGCCTCATTTGACTTGGGAAGCCTGGGGAAGAAATTTTCCTTATCTATCGTACTTCACAAGACGTGCTTTTGATGGCAGAAGAACACGGTCCAAGACGGATAGTCATCATATAACTAATGCTGAAATACATTGGATTAGGTAAAGAGATTAAAAAAAAGACTCTAGTCAACTCTGCTAACTCGATGCTTCAATGATGCTCTACTAAGACATCTCTCTTCCCCAGATCTGTACAGCCTACTGTTCGCCCAACAACTGTTGTTCATGTGCATTTTTATGTCAGGCAATTGCCTTGAACGGGTATAAACAAATGAAAGCTACCCCATGGGAATAGCTCCTCTCTGACTGGTCGACGGACAGCCATGGCTTAGGCACCTCTCTTGCGTCCTCTTCCAATTCGCCTTCGCAAGCCGCCTCCTCCGGCCCGGCCCCATAATCGTTGGGCCCACCCCGTAATTGCTCTTCGCAAGCCCGTAACACCGGCCCGAACTCTAACGGTCTTGCGTTTTGTT